CTCTCTCTCTCTCTCTCTCTCTCTCTCTCTCTCTCTCTCTCTCTCTCTCTCTCTCACGCGCGTTGGACGTCGTGCACAACACGCGTTCGTCGAGTTCTGAGATTCGGCTCGCGTGGCAAATGAGTGCGGCCGAGTGAAACGGCCCTCTTTATAGTCGTTTCCCCTGGCCCTCCCCAAGTAGCCCGCCCCACACCGGTACCCCGAAAATGCCCTGCAGGACGTCGGGGTCGTTTTTTTATTTTTTTTCAATTAAAAAAAAAAAACTTATGAGGGCATGAGGTGGTACCCAACAGGCCACTGTACCACCTCAAGCCCTCAGCAACCCCGACCCCCCCCACCAAACGCGCAAAATCCCAGTTCACAGAACCCGTTTATTTGCGTCTAACGTGCGTTTAAACGGGATTCAATGCAAATTCAATGTGCGTTGAAAAATTCAATGTGAAACCCACGTTGAATTGGAAATCGGACACATAGCCGATAGGCGATCACATTGGGCGACGTCAGAGCGTGGTCGGGGGCATGGGAATTCATCGTCTCACACAGGATGGAAGTGGGCCGACGACGGGGATTGGGGAGCAACAACTCAACGAAGGACTTGCATATTCCTACCCTACCGTCGGCAGGGAAAGAAAAGCACTGGAAGTAGAACGCCGCACTCCTGTGCAGACAACGTCGAGGCAAGAACCATCGGGTGATAATCGAGAATGTGGTGGGAAGGGGACCACAATTGCAGTTGGATCTGAGGATGAAGCACTGAACGATGGAGAAAGGTCCCGCGACACGGTGGCAAGCGGTGGTGGAGGTCGAATGCTAACATTAGAGGTAAGAGGCAGTACTGGTGAGCGGCGAAAAGGGGGGAAGTCCACGGTGGCACTGAAGAAAAGCACACTATGGCCGTTAAAGGAGCGAGTGCTTCTCACACAAATCAGTGGCGAGGACAATGCTCTGATGTCTGATGCGGAAGGTGCTCAACAACACATGACAAGAGGGAAGCATTACGACTGGATAGCGAACAGGATGAAAGATGAGGGGTACACACGTACAGGAAAGGATTTCTGGAAGAAATCGGTCGAGCTACAAAAGAAGGCGAGCTAAGGGAGATAAGAGATGCCGACGAAGGTTCCAACAAACCATCCTACTAGGACATAACAAGTTAACAACGGAGGAAAGGAAGAAGTTGGGCATCGCCATGACTTTCGAGAAGGCACTGTGGAATGCCATGGACTGGTACCGTTTGAAGGCCGCATTTTCGTCGGAGAACACAATGGCGTCTAAGGTTTTGAGAGGAAGAGGCTCTGCACCCGGCAGCAAGGCGAGGGTCTGAAGGCGGGGGCACAAAAGCTTCCAACAACGCTGCAAAGACCCGCAGGACAAGTACAGGGAAAGTTCGTGGAGGAGAAGTGCGACAACCATGTCCAGGATGACGACAACGATGGAGGAATCCGCTCGGTCGGTTTGCGCATGCCTGGATAGGGCTGCGGGGACGCTGGCCAAAGCTTCTATCGAGGGGGATGCTATGATGGTTGTGCGAATCGACAATATGGCAACGAAGATCGGTCATGTCGCGGGGGCTATGCGACAAGGGAACTCAGTTTTGGAGATGTTGGTGGGTGTCATAGCGGGCAGAGGACGCGGGTTAAGTAGCGGCAAACAGTAGGGGGGTGGGATGAACCCCCCTCGAGGTAGATGACGTATGGTTGGCAAGCAATGACCGGGTGGGGTTTAAAAATTTATGTCCTTCGCCATTCGCCGACCCCTCTAAAGGAGACCTGCCCGATAATCCACGACATAAATCCTCGGTCGACAATGTCAATTACGCCTATGCTGTCAACATCTGCCAACGGAAATGTGACTTTTGTTTGCTGTTTTTATGTTTTTTTTCTTTTTTTACTTTGATTTTTCCCTGTATCTGTGAGACTTTTCGGTGGGCATGCATGGAACGTAGTTCTATGCATGCACATGGATATGATGAGCACATGTAGGAGGGGTAAAAAAAGCAAAAACAAGAAATCAATTAAAAAACATTGAAAATAAAATTTTAAGAAAAGGAAAAAACAAAAGCTCTTCGGCAAGACGACGTTGCCAATGGCAGTTTGGCAGTATAAATGAACGACACTTGTCTCTTTGGCACTATGCAGCCTGCTGGTTGCGCCTTTCGCGGCTTCGCTCGGAGGTCGACTTCGAGGGTTTCGGGGAGGCAGGGGGGGTGAATCTCTACGGAGAGATGACCGCACACACACACACACACACACACACACACACACACACACACACACACACACATAGAGAGAGAGAGAGAGAGAGAGAGAGGACGGAGATGGCGCTGGAGTTGGCGTGGAGGGAGATTGTGAGAGGGATGGCGGTCATGTATTGGGAGCGATGGCATGACAGGGACAGTCACTTCCGGCGAGAACTAGTCTTTGGCCCGGAGATCACGCGGCGGTCCTTCCACTTTTTTTCCGTCGACGTGAATGGGAAGGCCGCCGTCGATCTGGATGTCGTGCTTGACTACAACAAGCGTCTGTTGTCCATGTCCTAGTCCGGGTGAAGAAGACGGGGGATGGCTTGACATGGGGGCCTTCTACTACACCTACCTAGATCCGCTACTCGTGGAGCGTCGCTACCTCCACGGCGAGATCCGACTTTAGGACGTGCCCAAACCACATGCAATGCGCCACGTGCCAGGTCTCTACGTGCTGTCCACGTGGCAGCCACTTTTTTGTGTCGGCGAGGAATGGCTAATCATGCGCCATGTGGCAGTGTGCAAGAGGAACGACTGGTGAAGCGCCACGTGTCAGTGTGCTCGAGGAAGATCTATTGATGCACAACGGGAACGTGGGGGGCACAAACGACTTTTTACGCACAATGTTGCCGTGCACACGTGGAAGGGCTGCTGATGTGCCACATCTCAATTGTGGACTTACTCTCCAAGATTGACAGCGCGAGATTGAAAGTGATCGCACGTGATGGGAATGACGCACGTGTGATTTGTGGGGTGAATGGCATGCCAGTGGTGTGCTGATGATGCGGAAGGATGGTGGCAATTGAAAGGTCGCGTGTGTGCTATTGTGATGATGTATGCGGTGTGTCGAACCTGTTCCGCTGGCTTCGTTTTTGAGGAGGGGGTGGATAGTACATGGGTTCTCATTCACGGCAATGGTTTTCTCTATTTTTGTCGGCCGAGTTGGGGAGCTCGACGACATGTCATGCCGTGATGTAATCGCATTGCCGTGTTGTTTGGGAATTCAGCCCCCATTATGAAACTTCTTTGCTCCGTATTTTATTGTTTCGTTAACTTGGCTGCTTTGTTGATGTAGCATTCAAAGTGATATATCTCTCTGCTTGGATGCAAAGGCAAGGGAGAGGAGAGGGGGGGGGGGGGACAGTGGCGATGCAAAAGCACAAGGGGGTATTCTTGTTGGAGATGATATGTCCCCCTACTTGGATGACGAGTGAACACACACACACACACACATACACACACACAACACACACACACACACACACACACACACACACACACGCACACACACACACATACAGGGAATCGAAGGAAAAAGCCAAGCTTAAGCAATAAGGCCAAGAGGTAAGCAAGGAAAGAAAAAAAAGATACTGGAAAAGGAAAAAAAAAAAAAAAAAAAAAGGTGGAGAGGCAGGATAAACCAAAGAAAACGAAGGCATACTTGGATGGATACTACTGGCCCGTGGATGTTTGCTTTGCCTGGTTTACATTGATCGGCCCAAATTTCATCTCACGCAGTAGCACGAGAAGGCTCCGGCCTTCTTACGCTCGGACAAACCACGCGAATTATCAGTTATGGGTCGCGAATGGCTTACGACGAATACTGCAATGACCGTAACCACAGACTGGTTATGAATCGGCACGTGCACCTCGCACGTAATGACGAAGCCAACTAAATAAGGGACGGAGGCACATGACTGATGAATAAGGCAAGGGAAGACATACAATAAAATAAGAATGTCTAGTTTATTAAGTCTCCGCTTTCGTTGCATTTTTTCTTGATTTTCCCCCTTCCTTTTTGTCCTTCTATTTTTTTTTTTCGTTTTTTTTTTTTTTTTTTTTTTCTCTTTCTTTTTTCCCTTTTTTCTTCTGTTCCCCTTTCTTTGGAATAAAATTTCCAGAAGAAGCTTAAGGAAGCAACGAACTGGCAGGCTACGAGTGGCTTCAAGTACAAGTCGTAAAAGAAGGACAACGAAATACCCGTAATATTTGAACAAATTGGCCACGATCGCCGACTTCCTTTTTCCTTTTTCCTTTTTCACCTTTTTTTTTTTTCGTTTTTTTTTTTTCCCTTTCTTTTTGTCACGAGGAAGTACAGGTACGAGGAAAAGGAGAGACTACTCGCCGATGGTGACAAGACTATTTAGGAAAGGAAATGGCATGATGGATCCCATCTCTTTAACTACTCATGTGCTCTATACTGGTTGACGGAGGTTTTTCAAACCAGGAGGGGTTATACTGCGAAGGTCTCTTTGGCGATCTCATAGGAACTGGTGCAGGCAGCGTGACTTGCGGTACCCTGAGGCGAAGCGTCATGGACTACGTGGTGGATCCGACTATGGTGGACCAGCTGATCGGCAACTCGGAGGACGCGGTATAAGCTTTCGAAACTCTCCAATGCTTACTTTGCGCCAAGGGACGATGCTCGTCCTTCACCACGTTGCACACCTCACTTTATACATAGGACAGGCGACTCATTCTCGCTCGTCATCTCCCCCTGCAATCTGCTTCGCTCGCTTGGCCATAGGCTGATTGTATTTTTCAACATCAACAAAAAAATTTCCATGAGAAATGAAAGTTGAAAAAACATTCGATAAAAAAAAAATCCTTCATATTTATTAATTATCATTCCAATGTTTGTCCAATTCTAAAATTTTCAATTTAATTTGATAAATTCTCGTCTAAATATGAGTTTTCCCTTCCAATTACCTTTATTTGTTCAAGATGGAATGAAAGTCTGGACGAGTTTATGAAATGTTTTAATTATACTTTTATTCTACTATAACAAATATCGTCTTATTTAGATTGGATTAACCTATTTATCACTGGAAATCCTTACTTAGAATGACAGTCCAATTAACATATTTCATGAACTCATCCAGACTTTTCATTCCATTTCTAGCATGCAGTTCAAATAAGAAGGGATATCCCATTCTTGAAAGGAAAGTTTTCAAGTAAGACGAAAAATTTTAAAATTGGAATGACATTTTTTAAGATGGAATGAAAATTTGGAATTTAGAATGTAATTTTACTCTATAATGATTATTTAATTCTGGAAATTTTTTCTGTTGATGGCGCTGAGGAAAGACGACCTTGGAGAGAGGGCGGAGGTGACAATCGAGATCTCCGCTTTTGTCTTGCTCACATTCATTGCACTATTGACCTTCCTCGCCCTCCTCGCATTTCTTCATCAATTGCAGACGCTGTCGCCGCCTTCTTTCTCCTCTGCTCCCTCGCTTCCTCTCCTTAGAGAACTGCAGGTGTTCCCCCTCTGATGAAGCCGTGCATTAGTGACAGACGACAAAAAATGCTTCAGGGATTGCCACTTCCCTACCTGTTTTGGCCATCGGGGCTTCTTTCCCATACTACGTGGAAATACCTTTGGGAATATGTTCGGTTGTTTTCTCTACCATGCCTAATGCTTCCTTAATCGCTTAAACACTGCTATTACAAGTTGTCATTTGGAAAAGACCAATCTTCAACTTTAATTTGGCCAGGAATAAACTTAAGCTTCTTATTGGATAAAAGGGATTTCTTTATCACTGGCGTGTGTGTTTGAATCGTCATAAGCATCCCATCGGTTGTTGTTTGCTTTTTTTTTTTTTTTTTTTTTTTTTTTTTTTTTTTTTTTTTTTTTTTTTTTTTTTTTTTTTTTTTTTTTTTTTTTTTTTTTTTTTTTTNTTTTTTTTTTTTTTTTTTTTTTTTTTTTTTTTTTTTTTTTTTTTTTTTTTTTTTCCTCTATCCCTTCCCTTGTTTCCTTGATCATGGTCCTCCCTTGACTCCATATCTTTGCAAATGTCTCCGATGGATGTGTATGCGAATATGGTCAGCAACGCGCTTTGCTTTCTTTTCAAAATAAATTCCTGATTATTATGTGCTTACACCTTTTTTTGAAGCTTTTC